ACCATAATGGACTAGACCTCTGAACTGTAAGCCTGTACCTCAATTAAATTTTTTTTCTTTATAAGAGTTGCCATGGTCATGGTGCCCATTCACAGAAACAGAAACCCTAAGAAATCCTGTTTGAAATTGTTGAGGTTTTTTTATTTAAATTATTTATTTATTTTACATGCCTATCCAAGTTCCTCCTCCCTCCTTTCTCCCCATTGCCTGCCCCTACCTTAACTCCATTCTGTCAATTCACTTTTTCTTTATTTCTGTTCATAAAGGAGTAGGCCTCCCATGGGTGTCAACAAAGCATGGCATATCAAGTTGAGGTAGGACTTAGATCCTCCACCCCTTGTATTAAGCCGGGCATGGAATTCCTGTAGAGGAAAATCAGCTAAAGACCACATATCAGTATATCTAGTACCAAGTGCAGTAAATACTGAAGTACAAAGTAGTTTCTTCTACATGTGAAGTGAAGAATTTTAAGTGGCTATATTCAAACCCTATTTTATGTGAACTGGGAGTGATATATTTGAAATCTATTTCAAATAGTTCAAAGTTCTCTATTTTGTCAAATATGGGCAATGGTTTTTTTTTAAAAAAAATTTAAAAGTACCTCTATTTGAAAAGCAAAGCAAATAATTAATCACACATAAACTTCCAGATAAAGAGGGAATTATATGTCATATGTAATATCAAGTGGCAATATTCAGACATTAGACTGGACAAGAATTACTGTGAAAAATTGCTTGGTTTAAATAGCAATTAAGGACTGAATGGGGGAAAGTAATCAGGAGTATGGGTGATGTAGCCAGTAAAAGAGCATTAAGTAGGTAATACGGTACTCAAAATATTCCCAATGAATATTCATGAGTTGATCTTCTTTTGACTTATTGAATGGTGACATTTCCTAGTAGGAAAACATTTGACTAAAAGAAAGTGGCTCTTGAGCATCTCTGTATTATAAAGTTCATATTGTAAAGACAGCAAGATTAAGTGTTGTGAGTAAGGGGTGGAATTTTCATAACGTGTTGGAGAGCAGAACCTTGCTATCAAAGTGGTAATTTCCTGCTTCCAGAAAATCCATGCAAGTTTTTATGGTCATCCCAATAAATAAAAAATATCTCAAAAAGGCTTAGTTTAAAAGGCTTATCTGTCTTTTTAGCCCATTTCCTAACATTTCTGCATGAGCTTGTTTACTTGATTATATTCATTAAAATTGAATTTTGGAGGGAAGTTGGCATTAAAAACGTTTCAAAGAAGTTTATGTGAAAATTAAAGAAAGTCAGTTCTTCAGGCCCTCTGAAACTTCCTGGAGGAGAGCTAGTAACAATAATCGCTGAGGGAGAAGGGGTTGAGAAGTTCCTCGGACCGAAACGTATCCTCTTAGAAAGTGAATTACAGAATCTGAAGTGGGTATGGAACTGTGAGTATGCGTGCGTGTGTGCATATATGTGAGTGTGTGTGGTATGGGGGCAAGTGTGGGCTTCACTTAAGTTTCACTTGAGAACCTGTTGAGAAAATGCTCTGAGTTTGACACAAATTAGTCAGACAAGCTGTCTGGGGTGTTCTGTTTGTCACCCAGTAGCATGAGAAAAATATATAAATACAACTGCCTCTTGCAGCCAAAGTACTTCCTTGTGAACACACTGTCAACAGAATTTCTTTTTACATCTTGTCTCAAAACCTGACAGTCAACAAAACAGATGTTTTCTCCTGAAGGGAGCTGGCCAGGACTTCAGAGTTAAAGGAAGGTGGAGCCCACCCTGGTGTGCACTCACGAAAGCATCATCTCATCAGGAAGCCCCAGTCTACAGAGTCTGCAATGACTACTTCTGGCTGACATCCCCTGCCTTCCTCCCTCCACCTGCTCTGTCTTTGCCTCATAGCTGTGAATGTGCTTAGCATCCAAGACATAAAGATACGAATACTCCCACATCTTAACAAAAGAGAATGGTTATACCCTAAAAAATTCTTTCCCTCAGCCACCAAATGAAAGCTCAATTCCTCCGACCCACATTTTGAATTTGGGGTTTACTAAAAGTTCTATGCATCCCATAGAAATGTACATCCTTCAACCCTTTTTTATGGGGAAGGTTGAAAGCTGAGGCTCTCTAAAGTTAACGTGAAGATGAATTTAACTTAAAACTATTGAAACTTAAGAGGAACTCCAAACATTCTTCATTTCCATCAAAAGTAAAATTCTTGGTTGGTTTGCTTCCTGGGGAGAAAAAGCACATGATCACTAGGGAGATGGATACTTATAATTAATCCAGGCTGTGAATGTCAGCTTCAGCATAACTTCTCCCGGTGCACTTGTCATAGTGTCGCGCTCATCCTTGAGGGATCCATCAATTCACACAGAGGCATCAGGAGGCCAGGAAGCAAGTTTATCTTCATTTCTTCCTTCTTCCCAAGGTTAACTACCTTCAGATCACTTTCACACTAAAATAAAGTACTAAAGGTTTTTTTTTTCTTGGAGTTTTAGTTCTTAAGTGTTAAAATAAAAGAAAAATTACACTTAAAATGAATGTGGTCATGCTCACAGACTAGAGCGATGTTCTGATCAGGGTAGCGTTAGTAACCTTGAATTCTATTGGTGTATTGACTTTAATCAATAAAGGACCTAAAGTAATACACGGTAGACATACTGATAGTCTTCAGATACAATGGCATATCCATGTATTTCTACAGATAGAAAAAGATATCTTCTATAAAATGATAGAGATGTTTATTGCAAGAAAGCAAGGACAATGGCTGTGTCACTGTACTGAAGGTCTTAGTCTTCAGGATGAAGAGGGATCTGACGGTGAGAAAAACAGCTAAACAAAGGCAGCGCAATAGTGAGCTGTCTCCCTTGATTTTCTGTCATCTTTCTGTTCCTCAAGCATCAAACCAGCCGTTCCTTGTTTGTTTAAAAAATAGTTTATTTAAAATATTGTTTTATGAGTCACAGTTTAAATTGGATTCAGCTTTCTTAAAATTTTTTTATTTAAATATAACTTTATGGTTTTTTTTCTTTGCACTTGTTCTAAATATGTTATTTACTCTACCCCTACTTTTAAAAAAAAGTTTAGGCTTTTTTATTGTAAATAAGGTATCATATTTTTTTCTAAATGTCTCTCCGAAGTTCAGAATGCATAAAACCAGGACTTCACTGCCGGCACTGTCCCCTCTATTTTCAGCTATGTGATTTCCTGTATGAGTCTGGAGGTATTCACCTTGTGTATTATGAATTTTATGATTTCTTTTATTTTAGTTCAATCTCTCCCATCCTATCTTTACCACATATTTTTATTTTTAGCCACATTTTAAACTATACAAATATTTGTATGTTATTTAAGTATTTAGCTATTTGTGCAATAAAATATGTTTTTTCATTCATGTATCTTGCCCTGCTAACTCTCAACAGATACTTGCCAATTTTATCACATATGTGCATTTTGTGCATTCAAATATCATCTTTCTCTTCCCCCAAATGAATTTCTTTTGAAGTCCCCACGTTGTCATATCTCTTCCTTCATCAGTGACCCAAAATTAATGACTCTTAACCATACTGTAAGACAAAGAAGTAGTCTTGAGGTGAATTTAGTATTTCCAGTGGCAGAGCATGTAAATTCTCTTGTTTTAGATCAAACAAGTCATAAGCTTGGAGCTCAGCAGATATCACAAATGCATCCTTTTCAAGCTTCTACCACGGTTGCTGCAGCTTCTGATATTTATTGGACTGTGCGATGAATTATATAACCTTGTTATGTCCCTTTCAAAACCACCTATGAATCCCATGTAAATTCTCTTCTTTCTGGGATTTTTCAGTGCAGACCCTGAGGAACAGAAGGAGAAAGTTGCTGGATAGAAGCAATTTCTGGCTCCCTCTCCTCCTTTAAAACTGAGATAATATGGTTTACTCAGCTCTCCAGACACAGCATTTAGTCAAAGTGTTTACTTCAAGTTGTCAGAGGCAAGAGGCTAAGGAAGAGATTCAATTTATAGCACAGAGACACATTTTTACATAATCTAACTTGAAATTCCTTGAAAGAAGACACATGTTGAAAATAGCCACCACTAAAATTACTAGAAAGTGGGGTGCTGAATCCCTTTTCAACTTCTTGCTCTTGTGTCTTCTCAAAGTAGAAAGGACCATAAGTCACCTTGTAGTTAGCATCTGAGAAACTTAGTGGCAATATATTGAAGGACTGTAAGCCAAAATTAAGAGTATGAAGAAACTTCTTTAAAGCAAAACATATTTTGAAATTTAGATATTAACCCAACAAACAAAAATAATAACCAAAAAAAGAGATGATTTTCATCCTAGGATAAGGACAGCTGACAACTGTCATATATATAATCTGTCTGCCACAGGAGCCTTAGAATGAGTGAAATATATACACAAACTGTGTATGGTGCTTCCCAATACACGATGGTCATAATTGTATGACATCACATATTTTGTTTCTAATAATGCTTGTGCATAATTACCTTTATCATTTATTTGTAGAATACAGCAAAAACACGTTTTAAAATGCTAAGAACTGGCTTTGAGAAAGTCCGGATAACTGATAAAGTTAGTCTAACATAGCTATAATATGAAGACACTAATAATCATGTAATAGATACAAGAACACTGATGGAGCATTTTCTACATCCCAAGGTTTTACTAATCTTAACGTCACATTACTTAATTTAAAGGTGATAAAAAGTTGTATGACATTAAACAGATAGTAGGTATTGACACAGAAACAATAACCCACAAGGGTCATAAGTTCAACTTCAATTGTGTTGTACATTCTCCATGGGATTCTAAAGGGTGGACAATCAATGGAGAGTAATACAGGTTCTGAAAATACTACAATACTAGTCTGAATGCCTGAGTCTTCTCAAGAGAAGTAAATTGAATAGATAAAGAATTATGAATGGAAGCCTTTGACATTGCCTTAGCATAGAACTCCATGGATTTCCCACAACATTCTAAGAACTCTCCTAGGGAATCAATAGAATCATTGAATCATTTTCTTCACAAATCCAGCAGGTTTCCATGATCAGCCTCAGCTGACATTATACTCAAGGAACAAGGCAAACTGACTTAGGTAAGCTTCCTTGTCTACCTCTGCCAAGTGAACCATGTCAGTCAGAAGACTATGAGAGGACCATATGGAGTCCTTACCGTCATGTATTTAGTGTTATGTCTGATATGCAACAATCTCTACGGTAACATTAATTCATTACACTGACAAAACCCTGTTCTAAAAATCAGTGAGAAAATGAATAGCTCTTAAATTCAAAATGGAAGTAAAAATGTGGTAACTATACCAGAGGTAGAATGATCTAAGGAAGTTCAACTTTTCGAAGAATTATTGCAGACAATCAAGGACCACTCACTGTAGACCTACAGAACTCAGCTGAACCAAGTATTGTAATGCAATATTTCTGTAAACTAAGAGATGTTACATAAAGCCTAGGCCCTCTTCCTCTCTATGGAAGTAGCCATTGAAAACTGAAAAACAGCATTTGAAGAAAGAGGCAAGTTTGATGCTGGAGATCAAATTTGATGCTACACAAGAAATCAAGGAAGATGGACTGCTGGCACACTGCATATACCAAGTTCTTAATGTTCCCATTTGAACAGTGACCAATGGAGAAAGGAAGAGATTTTATTCATTTGCTTCAATTAAATTGGGGTGTCTTTGATGTCTGCAAGTGTTCCCTATGGTCAGATTTCAGAATTCAGTTCAATGTGACAACTCCTCTGTTTCTACTTCCACCAAAGGAACTCACTTCCATGCTGCTTCATATTCTAATCTCTTACCTGCTCAAATTTTGAATTTTTTCCTTCTTCCTAACTTCTTCCACCATTACTTCATGTTTTTGTTTTGTTTTGTTTTCTAGCTTTGTGTATTGAAACCTGACAAATACTCACTATTTGTAAAGTATGATGGCTTAATACATGTATATACTGTTAACTGACAACTACAAGTAAATGAATCTACATGTCTGTCATCACATGTGTGTACATGTATGCATGCATACTTGTGTGTGTATGTAGTTGAGCGTGGTTACATTCATGAGATGACGGGCAAAGTGTACAAAATGTCTCATAAGTTGATTGCATTCTTAAGTGTTACTGATGCCCAATGTATATTGGGAGGAGAGCAGGGTAATTAAATAAATTTATCTAAGATATGACTGATAGATGTCTTTTTGATCTTACCATAGTTATTATTTTCAAAAGGTAAGATCAAAATATATAGAGTATTTCCAATCACACAGTATGCGTGAAGTCCAAACTAACCTTTAATCAATGGAAATCAAATTGTTTTACATATTGAAAAGAAAGGAAATTTTAGACAATGCAGGAGAGGTCTTGCATGGCTTTCTGGCAGTGTGAACAGACTTTAGCTAAGGAACATCTGACCCAGGGTTGTGTAGTTTTGTTGGAAAAGTACATCTTGTTAAAGGCTGTTAATGTTACACATATTTAGAGCTGTTTTAGCCCATGAGTTTTGAATAGTGCCTTCTGAGAAGATATTGATGATTCCTGTGAAATTTCTGCAATAGGATAGCATGATGAACAATGATATTTATGTTGTTTGATGTAAAGATAACCAGGTGGCCAGAGACATTCTGAATTTTCAGCTAGGGACTTACTAACTCTTGATAGAAAAGGTTTGAGCAACAGCAGTGAGGACTACTGGACAAAGGTGTTTTCCCCATGTGTGGCATCAGTTAAAAAACAAAAAGTGATGTAGGTGGGCCTTGTTTCTATGTGTTGCTTTCATTGGTCAATTAATAAAGAAACTGCTTGGCCTGATAGATCAGAACATAGGTGGGTGGCGTAGACAGAACAGAATGCTGGGAAGAAGGCAATGAAGCAGTTGCCATGCTTCTCCTGCCCAAGATAGATGCAGATTAGAATCCTCCTGGTAAGTCACCACCTCATGGTGCTACACAGATTACTAAATATGGGTTAAAACAATATGTAAGAGTTAGCCAATAAGAGGTTACAGATAATGGGCCAGGCAGTGTTAAAAGAATACAGTTTCTGTGTAATTATTTCGGATATAAACTAGTCAGGGAGCTGGGTGGTGGGAACGCGGCCCACTGCTCCTTTTACAGAAAAGTCTTCTGTGATTTACCAAAAAGGCTGGAAGACACAGCTACACAGTGAACAATGAAGACACACTGGAACCTTGTCATCTTCTCCACATGCAAGCTCCCAAGAGTTTAAACGAGACCTGAGCAACGTGTCCCAGACCAACTAATCTATTCTGAACACCCAGAAGGCAAACCACTGGCACTCAGATGGAAGGATCCACAGTTGCATAAACTATGGCCAAAGATGATCAGATTCACCATCCTACTGAGTTCCATACTTTGAAACAACCAGAACCGCACTGTGTTAAAATGCTTATCACTGTCCCTTAAAGAGATGAGAGTCTGTTGGACAGCGTTGTCCAAAGGGAACTATTAGGGCTCTATTAGGAACTATATATGGGGCTCTCACTTGTACATCCATCTAGCACAGCTCTGGAAGCTGAAATGCATTGCAGAGACACGTTGCACATATTTTTCTCTCTCTCTGTTGCTGTGTACTTCATGGAATGTGTTAAGCTGAGCATGAACTTGGGCCATAGTCTGTTTGAGGCTATTTTTATTTAAAAGCAGATAAGAATGTTAAAGGGACTTTAAACATCTATAAATTGCAAATTGTCAGGCCATCAAGTGTCTTAAACAAGTCCAAATGGCTTCATTTTCGTTCTCTACCCTGGACAGTCTGCTTGAGTCTCTCCCACTGCTGTTTTTGGGACACAGTCCAGGCCATTATGAGCAGAACCAGTACTGTGCAGTGATCTTGAGGCTTGCAAAAAAGTTTGGGACTACTTCAAATTACCCGTCATTTATCTTCTCCAGGGGATTTTGTGGCTCTGTCAAAAGTATATTTTGATCCACAGTAAGACAACCTGCAGTAGTTCTGCCATTTGGAAAAGACTAGATTTACAGTTCCTAGTAAATGCTTAAAATTCTATATTTTCTTTTAGTTGACTCTTCCATCTTCTGCATTTTTACTATAACTTGTTTTTCCCATAACTTATGACTAACCTCCCTTTGCTTCTAGATACAGACTTTTGGTCCTTTGGCTACCTTAATCTATACTGTAATAGTGGAGAGTTTTTTCTATACACAAACAAACCATTTGTTAAATTTCTGATTGTCTAGGACACCTGACTCAACAACACACCACCACCACCAATATTCTAACATGTGAGTTCTTCACCTTTCTTTTTGGCATTTAAGTAAAACAAGGACTTCTGAAAACTGCTAGAGTTTCAAGAAATTAAAAGTGACATGGCTTAGCGCTGAGACATGGGTCATTTGGAAAATGATTGCCTTCCAAGCACAGGACCTGAATTTGATCATCAGAACTCATGTAAAGTGAAGTCAGATACAGTAACACACAGTTGTGATCCCAACACCAGGGAGATGGACACAGCACTAGGAAGTGCTTGCTAGTCAGTCAGTCTAGCGTACCTGCAGAGTTCCAGGTCAGTGAGAGACCTTGTCTCAAGAAACAAGATGCATACCTTCCTAGATTGTAACTACAACCACATAAAAACTGAGAGAGCTTAGGAAGGAATTCTAGGCACAAAAGAACACAGTTAAGAACAGTTTCTTGGTAGCCGTATTTTATTTTCAGATAGCCTCTGTTTGCTGGCAGCAAGCAAAGGCACAGCTCCTCTAAGAAACAGCTTCCTGACCCAGCATTAGCAGTTGAAACTGCATGGCTTCTTTAAAAAATGGTGGCTTCCTAGTTCATGCTGGTAGTATGAACTCTGGCTCTTTTGGGAGGTCTTTCACTTAAATGGAGTTTGTGAGCAGTGTGCTACAACTTGCTTAATGACAACATAAACCAGCTGTGTCTCTGGAGCTGGGGCAGTGAACATGGCTTGAAGAGCTGGCAGTAAATGTACCTCTGCCATATTGAAAGGCCAATAGAGGTGGAGTCAGCATCCAGGGCTGCTGCCACCAAGCTGCTTACCATTTTAAAAGTCTTTCTGGTCAGAAAATAACTATAGATATACAATAAAGACAGATTTAGATAGAAATAAACTTCTGAAAAGGTCATAGTATATTTTTAAATGTACATATGTTTGGGAGAGAGGAAAAATCATATAGACAGTTATAAAAAGAAGTAAATAGTTTTAAAAAATAAAGCAAAGTCTTGAAAGACACAGAGACAATAATATAAAAGAGTGCAGACAGTCATAGATTAAAGGAGTAAAGAAAAATAAGCTGTGTAAAGATGGAATATATATAGAGAGTCTGAATTATGTGTATTATTATATTTTCTTTTAATTTTTTGACTGCAGAGAGACATCTGATTCCGAGAGCTGCTAAGTTAAGTCAACATAAAGATATTTTATTTTCAAAATTTGTGACTAAGGATATATTACTTTGAAAAATATATTACTTTGCTTTTGTTTTCACAGAAGATGAGAACCTATGGATTCCTTTCAGGCCAATGTGGCTTGATGGAACAAGACCCCTTGAAAGGGCTCCATGAATCCCTAAAAACACTTCACCCAGTAAATGATAGGAAGCAGTTTGGAGAAAACTACACCTATACCCCAAAATGATTGCTTATAATTGCTTATAAATGTTTGTTTTCATTTAAAGGAGGATATGAAATAGAAATAAATAATATGGACTTTGAACTATTGATACAAATTTTAGGCTGATTTGTTACATTTTGCATATGTATTTCTGTTCTTGTTTAAGGTATTGTGTTTGTGTAACTCATTTAAAAATGTAATGTATAATTAAGAAATACAGATTAATAGATAGTCATTTATAATAGTCAAACTTGTCATGTTAGTCAAATTTTCTAAATGTACAGAGATATATTTCACGTAGATAGATATATTCTTCAGAATTTTCAAAGACTTACAGAATATGGTATTCAAAATGTTTTAAGAACTTAGACTTTTTTTGACAGTGAGACATGTCTGCTTCTGGCAACATCAATTATTTCAGGGAGGTTGATGGGCATTGAAGAAACTCGTTATGGAATTTGCCTTCAATGTGACAAGGTCAGCCATTTGGGCAAGAAACTGCTCTTGTCTGGACTGTCTTGTGGTATTCTGTAGGAACTGGACATGCAGGACACACAGAAAAGTGACTGCTGAACTTTTCTAAAGACAAGAGATGGTTCTGTAGGGTTCCTGTCTCACAGGAGAAACTTTCAGACATCCTGCAGGATACAGAAGAAAGCAATTGATGAAATTTGCATCACAAGGCAGAACAGATCTTCAAATTTCCTGCTTTGTATAAAAGTCTTCTGGATACTATGGGCCTATAGACTGAAGATGGATTCCTCAACATTACATAAAAACTTTGGGAGTCCAGGCAGTGAAATGTCTCTGTCAATTCTAGAGTTTTGGAAGTTGCTTACAATTTACTTCCTGTTTACTTAGGTAATATTATGTGTTTCTGGGGTCTTTGAAAAGTTGAAGACAGATTGTTATAATTATAGTTTTCCTTAGTTATGATAAAAGATATAGATGTAGTAGATATAAAACTTTAGATTCACAAAGATAGGATAGATGATAGAGTATTTTCCTTAATATGTCAAATGTAAACGGACTAAATTTTGTAACTCTAATTCTTGCTTGATAACTGTTTTGTATATGTAATGTTATTTTGTTAAAGTTAAAACCTTCCTTTTTAATTAGACTGAAAAGGGGAGTTGATGTGGGATGTCCTTCTGTATATGTGTTGCTTTGGCCTCTAGCAGGGTAGAATATAAGCAGACTGGAAGAGATACAGAGAGAGAGTAGGCAGAGTCAAGGAGATGCCATGTAGTTACTAAAGGAGAATGATGCCTGGCCGACCCTTACCAATAAGCCATAGCCTAATGTCAATGCACAGATTAATAGAAATGGGTTAATTTAAGATATAAGAATTAGTTAATAAGAAGCCTGAGCTAATAGACCAAACAGTGCTTTAATTAAAGAGGGAGAGAGAGAGAGAGAGAGAGAGAGAGATGCCCTTCTGTATATATATTGCTTTATGAGTAAATGAATAAAACTGCTTCAGCCTATGGCAGGGCAGAATAAAGCCAGGTGGAAAATTCAAACAGAGATATAAAAAAAGAGTAGGCAGTGTCAGGGGCCAGGAGACACCATGTAGCTGCCAAAGGAGAGACACCCCAGAAACTTATCAGTAGGCCACAGTCTCATGGTGATTCACAGACTGATAGAAATGGCTTAATTTAAGATGTAAGAGCTAGCTAGAAATATGCCTAAGCTACTGGCCAAAGAGTATTGTAATTAATATAATTTCTGTATAATTATTCAGATGTTAGTACAGGGAAATGAAAGAACAATTTCCTCCTATCCTCCTACATCTGGCCTCCACAAATATGTAACCCACACCTATACATATTCGCACACACATGTACACACCGCACCAGGTACTATAGAAAGGACTCATAGTAACTGTGATTCTTGGAAAGCTCATTTGTCTCTGCCTTAGTTTCCTTATTTGTGAAATATAGTGTTTGTGCCATCAGTGATCTGAAATCAGTGTGGTTAAAGTGAGGCCACTTCACATTAGGCTGTGTTGTGTCATGGGGTATGCCCTGTTTCTTGTCCTTTGTTTTGCTCTTTCTCTCCTTCTCCCAGGCCCATCCAAATGTAGTTGTTTCTCCTAAAAGACTGTTACTGAGTTTCACCTTCATCAACCCTGTCTGGTGATTCCTTCAAATACTCAGCCATTGCCCCATTCTAGCTCGCAACACCTTCACTGTAGCTTCTTCGAAAAGCCTATTTCTTCTTAGGTAAATTTTAATCCTTCCAGTACAAATTTCCTGTATTACCTAGAGTATCTGTACATTCATAGTTATCATGTAGTTCCTAACAAAATGTATGAAATGATAAGTGGATTTTATGCAAGTCTTCCTGTTGAACTTTAGTTCTGACTTTTCATTTTAAAATATTGCTTTATGTACCTATGTGAGACAAATCTCTCTTCAAGTCACAGACCTACTTATGGATATGCCAATAGTGTGTTTTCGTGTGTGTGTGTGTGTGTATTTCTAAAGCATCTTTACAATATATATATATATATATATATATATATATATATATATATATATATTTCTAAAGCATCTTTAAAAACTCTTTTGAGTTAAATGTTCACTATTGTTGCTCAGTGATACACTGACAGATGTTTAATAATAATCTCTTTGTAGGGATGATAGAAACATTGACCCCAACATGGTATGCGCGGTATGTTAGGCTCCATGGTGTAAAGAGCCTCACTGTGACTGATTCGACATCACAGAAGGTAAACTACTGCTCTATTGGGCCCCTCATCTAGTTCTTACTAGTGTGTGTTAAAAGATGGACGTTTGTTATTTTCTCTTCGAACAAGCACTTGGTGTATGGTGAAAGCCTGTTACAGTCACCTAAGCTAACATTGCCATTTTCACTCTATACATTGATCTTAATTATTTAGGTTCTTCTACTTAGGCAGACCTTAAGCTTGCAATGTGACATCTAACAGCTAACACAATGGTTGAAAATGTATTAGTTGCAACTCAGAAGCTGAAACTCCAATGGGGAAAACAAGCTGTTTTAAAATCATTCTTTCTAAATTATGTTCAGTGTAACTCATAGCTGTAATGCTGAGTGGGCAGAGTCCTGCACTGCTACTCATATTCCATCCAAGGCTGCATTTCTAATGAGTAGCTAACTAGGAAAACATATTGAATGATGTTCTAAGGTCTAGCATTGCTGCCCTTATCTTCCATCATTAGCTACAGGATGTGATATTTTATTTCATAACCTTCTTTGGACATATCTGCTCCACCTGAGGAAAATGGACTGCAGTATACCCTGGGTGCTTTCCCACATCCAACATCCAGGATTTCAATAGTCTAAGGATACGAAGGTGGGCATTGCAATGTAGGCAGACACTAATATAGTGGTGTGAATGAGAATATTCCTCCTATGCTAAAATATTTGAACGCCCCAGGTCTCAAATTGGTGATACTATTTTGGGAGATTTTGGGCATACAGCTTACAGAAGAGAACGTGTCACTAAAAGTGGGATCTAATGTTTATAAAACTCATCCACTTCAACTTTGTTCTCTTCGCATCCTGCTTGCAATTTGAAAATCTCTACTCTCAGCGCGCTGCTCCTACCCATTTCCAGCTACTTTCTGCCCTGTTTCTTGACCATGATGAACTCACCCCTCCCGAATCATAAGCCCAAATAAACTCTCACCTTGTGTCAAATGACTTGGTCATGATGTTTTACCATAGCAACAGAAAAGCTGCCAATACCATGGCCCTCAGTCACTGTGTAGCTGTGTTTCCAAAGGCTGTTGGAAACTCCACAAAACATCTAATTAAAGTATAAAGTTCCCAGGGATTAGCTAACCAATGAGTTTTGTAGAATCTATCTCGCAATGGTGATCTGCTCTCTTTCAGCTCATCTCTCAATTTCTGCTTTACTGAACAGACTGGCAAAGCAAAACCTGAGAAATGGGTTTAATCACCTGTCAAAAGTCATGCCTCCCATAAGATGACTTGTAAAAATGTCAAAATAGGATCATTATCTGTGTCCTCAGTTTGTAACTCTTATATGCCTGGTCTTCCTTGTTAGGACACTGAATTATCCAGCTTATGCGATACTACCAACCTTGTATAACACAGGGTTGATGTATTGTAGAGAGATGAAACATTTGTTGTAAGCACTGTTAATGCTGCTTTGCATGACCTCTACTTGCTGCTGAACAAACAGCAACTCTGAACTAGTGCAAATCAGGAATTCAGCACTGGCTTCTAACCTCACACTGTTCACATGTCAAATGTGAGTGGAAACAGCAGGAAACTGGCCTGCTCTTTCTAATTACAATTATGATAAAAGTTTAGCAGAAGTCTACATAAAATTATAAAAACCTTTCTGCCCAAGATTGGTGTTTTATCTCATTGTATATTCATATGATTAGGCTCATTTGGCTGCTTAGGGAAAAAATGAATCGTGTCCAATAGATTCTTATTTAGGATGCTCTGAGGGAGAACCCATGTGCAATCACACATTGTCTCGTTCTCATGTAAATGACAAAAGCATGAAAAACAAGATGATGAGAAAGGCCTTTCCTCTCCTCTCTTAAGATAATCTCTCTCTCCCAGGGAGGCCACAGATCTTAGGTTCAAATAAGACTCCTTTAATTGGGTGAAATTTCTATGCAAAAACTAATGCTATTTGGACCAGCAGGCAAAGACAATTCTCTGTCTCACCAGGGACTCACATTTTTTTTTTTTCAGCCAAGCTAGGTCCTTCTTTCTTAGCACTGCCAAGACAAAACATCCTCCAATTAGTGAGGTAGACTTTACTCTTGTTATCTTCTCATGTGTCGATATGGGGTAAGTGAGAGTGTGCAGGGAAATTGATTCAAGTCATTGATTGAAGAACCATCTGATTGATTGATAATCAGCTGGAACAATCTTCATATTCATGCATTGGTTTGCCACTTGGAGAAGCAGGGCCACACAGAAAGGGAGCCAAGCCTGTCAAACACACCCCTGAGAGCTTGGCTCTTCACAGGATATTTTTGGAGGCCAGGTGCCAATCACTCATGGGACTTTGCTTGTCTGAAAGAATTTCAGATGTGAACTTTAATTATAGTACAGCAAAGTACGAATGGTGGAGGCTGGCAAAGCAGCTATATTTTCAACAAACTCAACCCTCAGTCACCAAAACCCTTTTGAATCTATTTCAGAGACTTTTCAGTGCTGTCTAGTGGTTTCATCGATGCTGTTCAGAAGCATCAGGTTGACAACTTGGAGACGCTGGTCCCCATCAGTCCCAGGAAGCTGAGACATGGTGGCCATCTTCATAACAAGCTGAGCGTTTAAGTTTCTTCCAGCTCTGACCCTACTGAGTCTTGACTAACAGATTCAACAAAATTTGACTATGATGAACAATCAGGTTGTGTTCGTGTTTGCCTTAGAGTACTTGAAGAAAAGACAGAGAACTAGTCAGAAGGTCCACAGCTGGATGAGAGAAGTAAAGACAAGTTGAAAATATGAAACTCTGCTTTCATTAACACTCTCAGCTGCATATGAACTTTTCCGTGGACTTGTTACTGAATCATCAGTTGCCATGGCAACTGGTAATGTGTTAACATTTATTAAGCATGGACTTCATCTTAAAAAGTAAGAAAAAAAGGCAATGGCCCTTTCTAAAATTTTCACATCTGTAATTTAAGAACAGCTTTTCAGAAAGAGGAAATAGATAGCATATGTAACAACAACCTAGTGTTAGAACTTTAAACTTCTCAGACAATCTGAGTTCGGAGAACTTCAAAACAATATGGAGGTGACATTTAAGAACATAGCTTCAAAAACCTAGCTAAGGCAAACCTATCTGCATCCTGTATTTGTGTGGTACTCTGTACTCATCTGTGGCCTTGTTGAAAACCATCATTAAGTCAAATCTTCACCTTCTTCTTTTGTTTTTATGGATGGTTTCCAAGTGTGTTACAATGGATAGGTTATGGTACGAGAGTAATAATTTTATCATTCAAAAAAAGTATTTATCTGAAGTACCCAAGCAAAACTCAAAGCACATAGAAGTGATTTATCATAAAATCTTCAAGATATCTCACTCCAAATTATTTATAATTAGCTTAAAAACATTAAGTTGACAAATATTGAATACAGTCAAGATACAATTGACCTATACACTGTGCCATGATTCCCATAAACAAAGTATATGCCATAAATTAGATCACAGAAATTGTTCTGGTTCTCCCAACTTTCCCACATCTAATAAAGTCTGAGATATCCAGAGAACAGATTGGCATTTTCTAAAAGGAGGGACCTGATTATTTGAATTGGCAAACATTTGGTAAATGACACTTTCCCCAGTTCCTAAGTTCTGTGGACCCTATTATCTGGCTTAATGTTAAAGGACAGGGAACTAAAAAGTTGTCCCTTCAGAGAAGGCTTTTATTATCTACCTGTTCACTACATTCAATATTCTACCTACACTATCTCTCCTTGGGAAAATTCTTGATAACCATGGGCTTTGAATATTTATACTAAAAAGGCAAGGGTTGGATGGCATTGCTTTGGAATTAAAGACAATTAAAGTAATAGAACTCTGAGGAGCTTCCTATCAAAACAACAAGCAGAATTTATTTAGCAAACACTCTTCAAAAAATATGTGAAAAGACTTGTATAACTTTCACCATATTTAATTTTGATTACCGTTCAAAACTGTATATTGAGGGGCTAGAGAGATGGCTCAACTGTTTAGAGCACTTATTGCTCTTACAGAAGCCCAAAGTTTGGTTTCCTCATGTTTGCTCACAATAGTCTGTAGTTCCAGTTCAGGTTATATGACTCCCTCTTCTGGTGTCCAAGGGTACTGCATGCACAAGGTGCACTTATACCCAGCATAAAAAGAGTGTTTTTTTAAAAAGTGCATACTGAATATCTGCTATAGTAGACTATATATGTCATATCACCCACCAAACAATAAAGTTCATATGACACAATGAATCTGAAAGAGAACAAGGATCCATATATGAGAGGGCTTGAAGGAAGGAAATGGAAGGGAGAATGATAAAATCATATTATAATCTCAAAAAAATTTAAGAAATAATTTTCAAAAAGACAGTAGGAAGGTAAGATTCACATGCATGAACCATGATTAATTGTAAATGAAATAAAAGATAACAGAGGCCAAATGAACATACACAGCATGGTATATTCATGTATACTATATACATGGTAAGAAATTTCTGGGGTTGGACAGTTTGAAAGCAGCCATTCCTTTCGTCTAGTCATTTACAATTGCAGGCACACTTATCACCTTCCCTGCAGAGGAATCTGACAAGAGTCAGCAACAGACAGAAATCCATTTCCTGGTTATTGTAATAGTTTGCTCTCAGAGTGTTTGCCTTCCTGGCCCTATATGCTGGCTGTCAATATCCATTTCTAGTTCCTTGGGTTGGCAACATTTTTAGATTCTTCTCTCCAATTCAGTGAAATTGTTTCCTTCTGGACTTTGTACTCTGAACCCTCCCTTGAGTTTCATTGCATACATGTATACATGTATATACATATGGGTGTGTGTTTGTATGCATATATGTATTACAGATTCAGATAGGGAATGATCATTTCTCCACTAAAAGGAATTTAAAAGTAAGGTCAGTTCCTGGCTGTCCGTGACAAAAAAAGAAATGGCAGATTGAAGAGCTAAGGACAATGACTGTGAGACTAAGCTATAAAGGTACCTGATGACCAAATTAAAATCAAGCTCAGGGGATC